TTACTGTTTGTTCAAAGTCCCTTTGCCTTTCACAGAAGGTGAACTGTGAAAAGTTTCAGTTTTACTATTCCTAATAAAATCAGGAAAAAAAGCGGACACACCAACTAACAAAAAAAACCGGAAAAAAACTAAGAAAAATCAAATAAAATGAAGCCTTGCAAAACGAAACCATCGGCAGTTTTCTCGGTCAGTGGTTGCTGCTGGCAAAGTGTTATCACTGAAGAAACCAAAACGCCTCCGTTCCTCATAAAGTGTGGCGTATAAAATGGCTTTGATATAAGATTCATTGGATGAACAGTTCAGAAATGAGATTGTGCATTACGGAAAATCTTCCTAACCTTATCAGCATCTGTAGCTTTGACGATAAACAGTGTTTTCGGGACGTTGTAATCCTCTTCCGAAATTGTAATCTCATATAGGTTTTTCTCGAACACCGGTGCATTGTCGTTCACATCATCAACGTAAACATACAAATCCGTCGTTGCATTGTGTTTACCATCCGTTACGAATAATTTCATATGATAAACATTTTCCTGAATACAGATTTTCCTAGTCATACCTAATTCAAGGACGTGTGCAGGCGTCAATTCCTCTCATCGCCTAATGAGTATGACTTCTAGTCGGTAAGGTCCAGGAATGGAAGCACTTCAGACGAAGAGGTGTCGTGAGCTCTTTCTCGAAAATTGTTCTGGACCAGGAGGCAGTCGAACCATTCCTTTTCGCATCCGAACGCGACGTACTACCACTATACCAGCGATGCCCTTTGCTGGCAGCACGTCTACTGTGTATCTGTCTTTCAAGGCAAACTACACCTTTTTTCTCTAACTTCCATAGGCACTTTCCTCCAATGACATTTCAAAACGGCTAAAGCTTTGCCAAAATAGTTTTTTTCTTAGGAGAATCATTGAATTAGTAATTTCTTCAGAAGACAAAACGAACATTAGGGGTGTCAATAAATGGAACAACATTGGTAAAAGCAACTTGAAAAATCGTTAAGACGCACAGTTGGAGAACTAGATTTTCCATACAAGTATCAAAATAAAAAGCACATATAAATGCAACCAAAGTGAGCCTGAATTCCATCTTAACTATTGCCATGCAGAAAATGCAGTTATAAATAGAAATTAATTCAGGATTTTCCTTAATCCGTCAAAATTTCAACGTTTTTCTGAACTTCATACCTTTTCATAATCCAGTGGTTCCTTGACAAACAATGCACCGGAATCAGTTCGTACGCCAAACGGTATTCGACCTCCGTACACAGCATATAAATCATATTTCAGGTTTGATACTGTAATTTGAAAAATTCCTTACATTTGATTCTTTTAAGTTCCCGATCAGAAATCTGGAGGGGAAAATTTACGTTCATTTCTTTCAGCTTTTAAATAGAAATTCAAAAGTAAAATAATAGACAAATGCACAAAATCTAAAGCACACGTCGATCTAGGTCGTAAGCTCGGACGGTGATTACGTCCTGATTGATTTCTGCATTCTCCGCAATTCGAGCTTCGTAACGTGGTTGATCGAAATACGGCGCATTGTCATTGATGTCCGCCACAAAAATTTGAACTTTAACAATATCTGGAAAAACAGAGGATATAAAAAGTTCCGGACGTCGAAGGCTCGCTCTTTTGAGGGTTGCTCAGAAGCAGGCTGATGGCGAATTTGACTCCGTGGTACGCGTCATTATCAATTTGCCATCGAAGTGAATGAACGAAGAGATTTGTTGTCCCACTGGCGGAGCAGAAACCTCGGCCAACAATGCTTTTTACTACTAGTAGAATCGAAATTTAAATCTCCTACATGAC